TGCGTGCGTGTGTGTGTTTATGTGTGTGTATTTATGTTTCTGATTATGTGTGTATGTGTGGGTGTATATATTTATGTAAAGAGTATGTCGATAGGTGTTCGTGTAAGCTATCCAATGACCAAATCGTTTTGCCTATTTAATAAAAAAAATTCATCATTTTGTGTACGTGCTCACGACTTCATACATTTGTGTACATGATAACAATTTTATATTCACGCTCATGACTTCATAACTTTGTGTACGAGTTAACAAATTCTGCGTACATATATAAATATGTATCAGACGTATGCCCATTAAAAGCGTACAACCACAAGGATTGAAGTGGAATTCTTGGAAGCATGTAAGCGTGCAGAATATTGCATGATATATTGGATCATTAGTGAGGCAGGTTTTCTTATACGTTCATGTCGCTGTGCTCTGCGCTGACACTTATATGCTATCCATTCCTGCTTTTATGTATCATCTCATCATATTTACAGTTCACTGTTTTTCCATCATCACTTTATCTTACCTGCAAAAGTTCACTGCAGTTACTTCTCCTACTACAACCACTAATAATTTTTATCGATTTTAGCAGATGAAATCAACTTGATAAACTTTCATTCATGCGACGAAAATTTTTCAATCAGAGGTCTACGTTCATTGAACACTTTCACGCAGCAAATATACTTGAAAACAAAAATTTGAGAAATTGTCATCGAGTCGAACTGAGGTGGAAGCAAAGGCAGGACAGCCTGGATGGGATGCCATCCTGAGATCACTCTATTTCAAACGAATGTATATTCATACAATTATAAACACACAAAAATTAGCAAATACAAACACATAAACATTTGCAGATACAAACACACAAACATTTTCAAATGCATACATATAAACATTCGCAGATACAAACATTTGCAAATACAATCACACAAACATTTGCAGATACAAACACACGAACAAACCGCGACAAATATCGTCAACTTATGAATATAACAAAATTTTCTTATAAATCCAAACAAACACATGGAAACACATACATTCTTGAATTCTTAATACATATACATGTACACACATACATACATACACATATATACATCTATTCATCCATGCATGCATGCATGCGTACACACACACACAAACATAACAACAAACAAAACACACACATATACAAACACAGATACACACACACATACAAACATAACAACAAACAAAAACACACAAACACACACAAATACAAACACACAAACGTACACAGATACACACACACACACACACACATACAAACACACACACAGCAGCGTTAATGACATTTATTCCTTGTAGAACATGCGTATGCATGTGCGTCCGATATTTTACTACTTCATCATGGCAAAGTAAATTAATAATCCATCAATCACTCTTCATTCATTTATTTGTTTTATCAATCTTTTCATTCACCCACCACATTTCCCGGCTTTTCATTCTTTCATTCCTTCAATCATTCATTCATTCATTTATCTGATCATCCATCTATTCATTGGTCGGTTCGTCAGTCTATCCGCGCATTCATCCACTTATGAATTCCTTTCATTGAATTAATTAATCAATATGCCTTGATTTCATTCATCCATTTATCACTATTATTCATTCATTAGTTCGTCCATTCGTTCTTTCTTTCGTTTGTTCGTTTGTTCGTTTGTTAATTCATTAGATCATTCATTCATCTACATAAATTTACACCGTTGCTTTTAAAAGTTTACAAACGTTTAAACATATTTTTTCACAAATTCAATACTTTTTCCAAACTGTTAATTATATATTCATCAGCTTCATTAGTTCCGCCATACATCCAATTATCTTTGTGTTCATTCACAGATCCATTTTTTTATCCATCCATCCATCTTTCCATCCCTCAACTGCCTACCCATCCATCCCCAACTGCCCACCCATCCATCTTTTCATCCGTCCATCTCTGCATTCATTTATGTGCCAGCTTTATTCGATCATTCATTCTTGTTTTAAATTTATTTTTTGTTTCAATTGGATTGTTGAAGTAATTGATCACATGTTCTTCAATCATTCAATCATTCATTCAATCATTCATTCATTCGTTCGTTCATTCATTCATTCATTCATTCATTCATTCAATCATTCATTCATTCATTCATTCATTCATTCATTCATTCATTCATTCATTCATTCATTCATTCATTCATTCATTCATTCATTCATTCATTCATTCATTTATTCATTTATTCATTCATACATTCGTTCGATCGTTCGTTCGTTCCTTCGTTCGTTCCTTCGTTCGTTCGTTTACTAACTCACTCATTCACTCACTCAATCAATCAATCAATCATTCATTCATTCATTCATTCATTCATTCATTCATTCATTCATTCATTCATTCATTCATTCATTCATTCATTCACTCA